TTTGCCTTGCACACAGCCAACCTGGGTTCGATCTCCAACATCCCATATGGTCCCCCGTGCACCTCCAGGAGTGATTCCTGAGTGCAGAGCCGGGAGAAACCCCTGAGCATCACCGGGTGTGGCCCCAAAAGCCACATAAATAAATAACTTGTGCATTCAAACATTCCTGAGCAATTAGCCCTCCATCCAAGGAGGGCTCAAGAAAATTGGGAGCCCCCCAACACGGGCCAGGGATGGGGGCAGACCCCAACCCCAGACCCAGAAGGCTGCTCCCAAAGGGGTTCCTCGGGGCCCAGTTTGGAAACTGCTGGAGCAGGGGCCCTCTCGGGCGCTCTCACGGATTTCAGACAGCTCTGAGGTCCTCCCTGTAAGGGACCAGGATGGGGGGCAGCTCCTGGTAGGTAGAGAAGATGCCCACACTGAGGAGCCTGGGGGTGGTGGCGACAAGTGGACGGACACTCAGACCCTGTTCCCAGCTGAGCCTCAGGTGAAACGGGAAGGTTCCACGCAACCCCCACAGGCTGCGTCAACCCAGAGCCGTCCAGCGCCTGGACCTGTGTGTCAGCTGACGATCAAGCAGTTCCTCTGAACGGCCAGTTTTGGCCGGGAGGGGTCTGTGGTCTACAGGCCGCTGGGCTCCGGGAGTCTCGGGGAGCCCAGGCATGTCCAGCCGTGCCCCTTTCTCACCCACGGCGCTCCCTGGGCCTTGCTTGCTTTGGGCGCCAGGTAGGCACCACTGACCCTCTAGAGGGAAAGGAGCCCCTGGGGGGGGGGGGGGTGTTATGTCCCTGTGGCCCCCAGGCCCTGAGGAGTGGCCGCACTGGCATTCAATGGTCAGAAGGAAACCTGTCCGTGAACCCAGATAGCGCTGCTCCAGGCTGCATTTCTGTCCCTTGTCCATCATCAAGAAATAATTAAAATGTCTCCGAATCACAGTGAGTCAAAAGAGCCACGATCCCTTCCAGGAGAAACTACCTCAGGGAACGAATAGCTCGAAGCGAGGGGCCAGAGGCTTGGGCCCCGCCAGGCCCGCGGGAAGGCCAGGTCCCCTTTCTGTCCTTGGAAATGGGGGGGGGTGCACCTCAACCGGGCAGCTGGGGTTCAGGTACCTCTCTCCCTAGGTGACTCCTGGGTGACCGTGACCGGGAAGAGGAGCATGTGGGACCAAGTTACCCAGGTTCCTTTGCGCCTCAGGGAGCATCTCACACTCACTCTAGGAGCAGGCCCGGAGGGTGTAGGCCCAGGCTCAGGACCACCAGCAGGCGAAGGCTGGGGTCTACCTGCAGTTCAGCGCCCCGTCACGCAGCCTGGCCAGCTCACGGGGCAGCGAGGGCAGCTGTGCCACCTCCAGGGGGCCAGAAAGCCAAAGTGATCCTCCACCTCCCTGTGACCACTGCTCTGGCCAGGGCACGTTACACTTCCCTGGGTCCCTGAGTCCTCCTGGACACCCAGCAACTCTGCCCCTGCAGGTCTGGGAGCCCCTTAGGATCCTGGGGAAAGACCAAAAGGCTACCCCCAGGGGCTGGAACGATAGCACAGAGGGGTAAGGCATTTGCCTTGCATGCAGCCGACCCAGCATCCCATATGGTTCGATTCCCAGCATCCCATATGGTCCCCCGAGCACCACAATTCCTGAGTGCATGAACCAGGAGTAACTCCTGTGCATCGCGGGGTGTGACCCCCCCCCCCCCAAAAGAAGAGGCTACCCCCAGCTCCTGTGCCCAGCTGTCCTCTTGCAGCTTGGAGCTGAGGCAGTGGTTGTGGCAAGACAGTGGGAGACAGGGGTTGGGGGCACTGAACCCTCAGAGGCGAGCATAGCCCTAGCCAGGCCTTCTGGCCACCCCTGGACCTCCCCGGTCTTCTCCCTGGAGCTTCTTCTCCTTCTGATCTCAGAGCCCTACCCACACTGAGGCCTCTCGGGTCAGCCAGCAGACAGTAGTCTGGGTCCCCAGAACGCGCCCCCCCCCAACCCCTATTCCCAAGAAAGCACTTTCTCATCCCCCGTTTATTCTTCTGGCAATGTGAACCACCATCTGACGGGGGACAAATGTCACTGAGCGGTTTCCTTCCACTGTCTTCCTGCCTCTTCGTGGTCAGAACAAATGGGGGCCCCTCTGGGTGCAGGGATCTTTGTTGCTTTTGTTGTTTTGGTCACTGGTGGAACCCAACCCAGTGCTTACAACAACGACGAACACATAGCAAGTCCTCGAAGCTGCCTAGTGGAAGGGGTGAATGAATGAATGAATGAATGAGGGTCGCCTACTAGGATATCAGACTCTGAGGCAAGCCCTGGCGGCTTAGCTCCTTAAATCCTCATGACCAACCCCTGCAGGCAGATCTTTTACCTTCCTTATTTTTGTGGTGGCTGTTGTTTGGGGCCCTCACCCAGCAGGGTTCAGGGACCAACCTCTGTCAGGGAACAGCTCAGGCCAGCCGCCACATGCAAAGCACGGCTCATTCAGCTGCCTCCAACTCAGGTAACTCAGGTAACACCCTCAACGCTCACTCTAAAACCAGGAAACGGAGGCTCACAGGCCCGCTGGGTTCAATCACTGCCCTCTCCTTCCCGAGGCCACCTGCAAGGTCTTCAAATCACAAAGGACATTAACTTGGGGCCTGAGTGATAAGCCTTACACAGCTGCAGCCAACCTGGGTTCAATCCCCAGCATCCCATAGGGTCCTTTGAGCACCTCCAGGAGTAAGTCCTGAGTGCAGAGCCAGGAGTAACCCCGGAGCACCGCCAGGTGTGACACCCAAACCAAAAAAAAAAAAAAAGAAAAAAGTTAAAATGAAAAAAAAACTAAGGGCTGGAGCGATAGCACAACAGTAGGGCATTTGCCTTGCGTACAGCCAGCCCAGCCGAGCCATGTTCGATTCCTCTGCCCCTCTCCAAGAGCCCGGCAAGCTACTGAGAGTATCTAGCCCGCACAGCAAAGCCTGGCAAGCTACCTGTGACATAGTCAATATGCCAAACACAGTAACAACAAGTCTCAAAAAAAAAATGGAGGTGTTACTGGGCTCGCTTGAGCAAATCGATGAACAGCGGGAGGACAGTGTTTGTTTGTTTGTTTCGAAGGACACTAACTCGCTTCCCTGATCCGCCAAATCCAGCCAGAACGTGAAGTCCAGCGCACTGAGCAGAGTCTGTGGGGGGAGGTGGGGCCCCCATGCTAGAGGAAGTCCCGCTGCCAGCGAAAGGAGGGGCAAGACCCTCCTTCAAACATTGCTCTGCATCCCCCAGGACGAGCCATTGCCATTCCGATTCCATTTCCTCCTTGTCTTTGCTCCATTCTTTAAACTCCCCTTGACCAATCTCTTTGACCTGTTCGAGTCAGACTGACGTGTCAGTGGCTCGCTCCGTGGGTCCTGGGTAAACTCGCCCTCATCAATTCCCGCCTCACGGGGGGTCCTCCCACACGATCCTGTCCCTGCCCTTGGTTCACGGACGTTCTGGCTCCAGCCCTAAGAACCAGGCCTTTGGAAAGGAGCAAAGTATGGGGGAACAGGAAGGACAGAAAAGTGAGCGCACGCCCCTCAGCCTTTCATTCCGGAGACCACCAGAGTCCCGGGGCTCTTCTCCCCTGCCCCCCAGACTCTGTTTTCTCTAAGTCGCTTCAGACTCAGACACTCGCCCGCCTATTGATTTCCATCCATGCCTCTCCTCTGCCTCCTCAAAAACGAAAAGGCTAAGAGCTTGAGAAAGGCAATGTGGTCAGCGCTGCTAACCACTTTTGGGAGCGTTGGCACCGGTGGGCACACAGATAATGGCCATGGGATGAGTCGATAAAGCAGAAGGCACAAGTGGACGTTGGAGGAGAAAACCAGGGAGCACTCAAACAAACGCGCCCGTTTAATCCCAGGCACAGCCCGCCCGGAGCCCGCGGGTGCTGGGATCAGGAGAGAGCTCCCAGTCGAAGCAACTCTAGGAAGAAATGAGGAAACGGACAGGCCAGAGGGACAGGCCAGGGGCCCCAAGGCAACAGTTTGTGCCCAGCTGAGCCCCAGAGGCTGTGTCCCTTCTGCCACCATGACACCCATTGCGCCCGGAGTGGAGGGTGCGCCTGGCCAGGCCCTGGGTCTGAGGCACTAGTACAAACACCACCGTCAGAGCAAGAGAAGCCGGGCGGGACGCCCATGAAGGCAGCTGGAGGCCGAGCAGAGACGATGCCCCTTCATCCATCTCGTCTCCTTCATGTCCTGGCCAGTGGGGCCAGGGAGGCAGAGAGACCAGACCACTGCCCACCACCAGCCCGTGGGTACCGGCTTGGGCTGCACTGAGACCAGTAAAACACGAGCCACCCGGTGCTTCCAAAACAAACACGGCCACGTGGTGCCACCGCTCCGGAATAGGATTCTGGACGCGATTTTGATGGGACTGGGTGTGAGCACCAAGTCAGTGCTTCCACAGGGTCAAAGACTCACTCGCAGCGTCCCCCGCCCCCTCATACCCCCACCTCCTCCGGACACCAGGCCTTCACCCACCTCACCCCACTCCCCAACATCCCTCACCCCCATTCCCACCCCGGGCTTCTTCCTCCTGAGCCCCCCCATGCTTCCCCTCTGCCCCCCACCCCCAGTCCCACCCCACTGGGTCTTCACTCGGGACCTCCCCGCCTCCGAACCCCTCGGCACACCTCTCCACCTGCCTTCCCCCAATGCACCCCCAAATCCAGGCTTCCACCTGGAGCCCCCGAAGTGCCATATGCTTGCCGTGCGTCTTTCCCAGGGGGTCCCCCCATTGGCTGAACCCCCGATGCATGAACACCCCTCCTCCCCGCGCGCCCCGGCAGCACCACGCTGGGGCTCGTGACCTAGGGCGTGCACCTTCCCCCATCACCTCCAACTTCTCGGCACCCCCGGACCTGCCCGGGGGGAAGCGGCGCGCCCTGGGGGGCCCCGGAGACCCCCGCGACGGCGGCCGGCCGGCCCCCTCCCCCCACGGGCGCGCGCGCCGGGGGTCCCGGGGTGGCGCGGAGGCCGCGGCGCCCGCCCCCCCGTACCGTTGGCGATGAGCTTGGCCGACAGCTGCTTGACCAGCTCGGGGATCCGCTCCCACTGGCCCTCGGAGCGGCAGCGCTCGATCTCCGTCTCCAGCCGCGAGCCCGCCTTGCGGGTGGCCATCGCGGCCTGGCCGGGCCCCGCAGGCCCAGGCCCCGCCGCCGCCGCCGCCCGCTCCGCCGCGGCTGCTGGGGCTCCCGGCGCGGCGGCGTAACGGGAGCGGCGGCCGCGCAGGGCGGGGAGCGGGAGCGCCGGGCCCGGCGGCGCGCGGAGCGGCCCCTGCCGGCCAGGCCCGGAGCCGCAGGGGCCGGGGGGCCGCGCCGGAAGTGACCCTCCGCCGGGACCCGGACCCGGACCCGGACCCGGACCCGGGCCGGCCGCCGCGCCCCGGGCGCGCGCGCGCGCGGTGGGCCCGGGGCCTCGAGCCGGGGGGACGTCGGCCAGCGTGGCCTGCGGCTGGCCAGGGGAGACGGACCCCAGCGCTGTGCCCACTGCCCAGGCCGCGGGGGCGCTGACCACTACGCTGTCCCCACTAACCAGGCCGCGGGACGCTGACCCCTAGGCTGTGCCCACTGCCCAGACCGCGGGGCACTGATCCCTACTCTGTCCCCACTGCCCAGGCCGCAGGGCGCTGACCCCTGCGCTGTGCCCACTGCCCAGGCCACGGGGCGCTGACCCCTGGGCTTTGCCCACTAACCAGGCTGCGGGGCGCTGACCCCTACGCTGTCCCCACTAACCAGGCCACAGGGCGCTATACTGACTCCTATGCTGTGCCCACTGACCAGCCCGCGGGGTGCTGACCCCTAGGCTGTGCCCACTGCCCAGGCCGTGGGGCACTGATCCCTACTCTGTCCCCATTGCCCAGGCCGCAGGGCGCTGACCCCTGCGCTGTGCCCACTGCCTAGGTTGCGGGGCGCTGACCCCTGGGCTTTGCCCACTAACCAGGCTGCGGGGCGCTGACCCCTACGCTGTCCCCACTAACCAGGCCACAGGGCGCTATACTGACCCCTATGCTGTGCCCACTGACCAGGCCGGGGAATACTGACCCCTGGCACTGTGCCCACTAATCAGGCCGTGGGGCCAGTGACCCCTGCGCTGTCCCCACTGCCCAGGCCATAGGAGTGCTATACTGACCCCCTACGCTGTCCCCATACCCAGGCCGTGGGGACTCTATACTGATCCCTACGCTGTCCCAACTGTCCAGGCCACTAGGCCCTTCCCAGACAGAGGTGGGAAGAAGCGCATCCACTCAGGCCCCATCACCCTGCCCTGGGCCTTGGGACCTGTTGAGGTGGTCAGTTTCAGTCCAGGCTGCCACCAGCCCTACTGACCACCCAAATTTTTGTGCTTGGGTTTCAGTTATACAATGATCCAGTACCCATCCCTTCACCAGTGCCCATTCTCCATCATTTACATTTTTGTTTTTACATTGTTGTTAGTGAAACACCATGAGATACAGTTGTAGATTTACAAATTTTTGTGCTTTGGTTTCAATTGTACAATGATCAAACACCTATCCCTCCACCAGTGCCCATTTTCCACCACCACGGGTCCCAGTATCCCTCCCACCCCCCATTCCCCCATCCCACCCTGCCTCTGTGGCAGGGCATATTTTACAAGAGAGAACCCCAGGTTGGGGCCCTAGCCCCACCCCACCCCCAGCCCCACCCAGCACTGAGCCAGGATAAACTATGGAGCACTGGGTGTGACTCCCCCCCAAAAATAAATTAAAAATAAAATAAACATGGCTATTTGAAAGAAAGAGCAGGTCTGAGTGCAGAGACCAGAGCAAAGGGGACAGATGGAGATGAGACTGTCATGGACAGTCCCACTGCAAAGACTTGACAAACCTGAGAAGGGGAGAGAACAACAAAGATTTTTCAGGGAAGTGGAATGGGGCAGTATTCTAGACAAAGGAAGCAGCAAGTGCAAAGGTCCTGGGGCTGAGAGCCTAGTGGGGAGCCAGAGGAAAATCAGAGACCAACATGGCCAGTGGGGCTGGAAGGGGGAGGGAGAAAAGGTGAGGATGTGAACACAGTTGGATTCTGCGGGCCATTATGAGTGGGCTGTCCATGTAGAATATTCCAGAAGGGCCTGTTAATGAATTTTTGGGCAATAATGAAATTTAAGAAGAAATTGCTCCGGGGAGATACTGCAGCAAGTTAGGCTCTTGCACGCGGCTGACCCAATTCAATCCCCAGCACCGTATATGGTCCCCCAGCCCAGCCAGAAGTGACCCCTGAGTAGAGAGGAAGGAATAAGCCCTGAACAACACCAGGTGTGGCCCAATAATAAACCAAAAAAAGAAAAAAAGAGAGAAAAAGAAAGAAAGAAAGAGAGAGAGAGGGGAAGGAAGGAAGGAAGGAAGGAAGGAAGGAAGGAAGGAAGGAAGGAAGGAAAAGAAAGAAAGAAAGAAAGAAAGAAAGAAAGAAAGAAAGAAAGAAAGAAAGAAAGGAAGAGGGAAGGCTGGAGCGATAGCACAGCGGGTAGGGCGTTTGCCTTGCCTTGCATGCGGCTGACCCGGGTTCGAATCCCAGCATCCCATATAGTCCCCCGAGTGCCGCCAGGAGTAATTCCTGAGTGCATGAACCAGGAGTAACCCCTGAGCATCGTCGGGTGTGACCCAAAAAGCAAAGAAAGAAAGAAAGAAAGAAATTGCTTTTCTCCCAGGGTCCCAAGCACAAAAATTTGTAAGTCTACAACTGTACCTCATGGTGTTTCACTAATAAACATTTTAAAAAAAATCCCCCCCCCAAAAAAAGAAAGAAATTGCACAGTCCCCAAATACCCTAAAGGCATAAAGTCAACATCCCTTTGACATGCAAATCCTCAGCTCTTTGGAGATGGGAAAACTGAGTCACCATCCAGAATGCGGAAATTGGAAGCTCCCATCCAGAGAAGGGTGGACCCCTCAGAAAAGGAGAAGCTACAGAAAATTTCTAAGGATCATATGGAGATTAAGGACCATCCACAGTGCAAGGCTTTCCCTGTGACGACGCCCAGATTAAGTGTCATGTACGCAGAGAACTCCAGACTAAGAGGGTGTGGAGGAATCGTGGATAATAACCCTCCTCCCCACCTCTACTCCAGCCCCTGCTCGCTCCCAAACACGCATCTTCTCTCTCTTTCTCTCCTCTGCTTTTTTTTTCGACTCGGGAGAAGTCTGTGTTCTCTTTTGGACACAGTTTCCTCTTTCTTTCCTCTCACCTCTAAGTAAATTGCTTTCCATGAAATCTATGTTGCTTCACTATTTCGCCTCCTTCTGAAATTCTTTTCCGCAAAGGAGAAGCCAGACATAGACGGCCTGCGCTGAGGTGAGGCCTGTCTTTCCTCACTCCAGCCTGAGTCCACGGCTCCCCGAGAACTCGGGTGGTGGGGACCCTTAGCGTGCATGCGGAACACGTGGTTTCAGCCCCCCTGGACGGTTGCCTCGTGGGGCTGGCAGGACGTGAGGTCGGTGCTTGGAACTGACCAGGCCTGACCCACACCAGCCATTTCCCCGTGTGACCCAGGTGGGCCCAGCAGAGAATTAACCACTCTTTCCTGCCTGTCATTCAGGGAGAGATGGTGGTGGACATAGGAGCGGTGAATCCCGGATACTGCATTTGAATTGTGGGATGTCGGCCTGGAACAGGGGGTTCGAAGGAGCACTGAGCCATCATTAATTAGCATCATCTCGCTTCCTGGGTGTTCTCCCAGGTATGCTTGTCTCTCATCCCTTCAGCAGTGCTGGGGCTGTTCTTGGGAGCCCCGTTTACCAAGGAGGAAGCTTGAAACATTGTGAGGTGAGGAGGGCAGAGTAGGAAGTGCCTTCTGAGTTGACCCCCAGGGAGCTCTGAGTGATGAAGGTTGACCGGAGGGGCCTCAGCCACCGTGGACCTTACAAGAATGAGGAAGTGGAACATTTCCACAGGGGACCCTTCGGTTTCCCCAGAGAGAACCGGAAGGAGTCGGTGGGGAGGAATCACCTCAAGACAGTTTCCCTCCCCTCAACCTTCATCTTAGCCTTTGGGTTCTCACACAGAGTTTTGTGTCTCCAGTTGTTTGCCTGAAATTTTCTCTTCGTACTAATTTAGGAGAGACATTCCTGCATAAGATCTTTAAAACCCAGGTCAAAGGTCCCCAAGAAACCTTGCTCAACATCTGGCAGATTCTGTGTGAGTCCCCAGCGGCTGGAACTTCCCGTCTGTTTTCAGCCTTTCCTAAGGAACTGTGTCCTAATGGTGAATGATGATGTCAACAGCGCCATTGTCACATGGTCATGAAAAGAACCAGTGTTGGGGACTGGAGCAATAGCACAGCGGGTAGGGCGTTTGCCTTGCATGCAGCAGACCCGGGTTCGATTCCCAGCATCTCATATGGTCCCCCGAGCACTGCCAGGAGTAATTCCTGAGTGCAGAGCCAGGAGTAACCCCTCTGCATTGCCGGGTGTGACCCAAAAAGGGAAAAAAATGAAAGAAAAAAGAAAAGGACCAGTGTCCACCTCTTGGCCCCCTGATGCACATGTTCCGAGACACGACCTTTGAGGTCTGTGGGGCCGGAACACAGACTCAGCATTTGCAGCCCAGGCAGTGGTACTGAATTGCCACATCCCATGTGCCAGTGTTAGAGGCAGATGGACGGGGCCCCGGTGATGAGCTTCTGGGACATAACGAAACTTAAGAAATTGCCCAACCCTTCATGAAGCACTCTGAAGATACGACACAACCACATCCGTTTGAGATGAAAATCCTGAGCTCCTTACGACGGAGAAGCTGAGTCTCAGGCTCTGTGCTCAGAGCTCTCTCCTGGCAGTGCTCAGGAAACCTTATATATTGCTGGGGATCGAAGCCAGGTTTGGCTGCATGTCAGGCAAGCTCCCTATCGACTGTACTACCTCTCTGGACCTGTCTTTGTTGTGTTTAGTTTTGGAAATGGGGGGGGGGGGGTATTTCCTATTGGGGGCGGTGATTGGTCACTCTCAGAGGGTGCTTGGGGACCATGTATGGTATTGGGGAGTGAACAAGGGTCAACTGCATACAAGGCAAAGGCCTTGGTCCTATACTATCTCGACAGCAAAAATGTCACCTTCTTTAATGCTCCCCCCAATTAAACCAGAAGCTGATCCACTACTAAATCCCAGATCTTTCCAAGAAGCCATACCACCGCCACCCTGGGTTGAGGGCATGTCACCCCTTTAAAAACAACTGGATCCGCCTGCAAATATTTGATG